AATAAAAATACAAATTAGAATTTACCTTCCTTAATCATGAGAAATCAAAGGGGCTATGGTGGCTGGGCATAAAAGTCCAGGGAATATTAGTTACAAGAAAAAAAAGTACGTGCAAGTTCTCCTCTTTTCTACAGAACTTCAGGTGTTTGTCTTTCCCCCCCCTCTGCCGCGCCTTGTAATATGCATGTCTTAACCAAAGGGAGAATACATTTTATTTTTCTGTACATGTTCATCTCGGGTTGAATAGGCACAAGATCTTCCATTGCAATGCACAAACTTCTGTGCCGAATGTTATACCTAAGTTGTACCAAAACATGGAACTACCTTCAGTAATGAAATTCTCTAATTCCCGTATTATTTGGTACCTGCCATTGCTTATTTGAAACTGATTGTTTATAAGAGGGATGTACTTACGGCAGTCATGGGGCAGTCACACAACCAAATTAGCTTTGGTTTGTAAAGAATTATCAACACTATCCATTCCATTTGTTAGAAAGAGGAGAACAGCTAATAAACTTTATTGTACAATATATTTGTCAAGTGTGTTTTTAATCTAAAGAAATACAGATGTTGTAGCAGTTTAAAATAATTGGCTCAGACTGTAAATGAAAATAATGTGTTAGAGGCTAACACTGGTGACCAGATCGGGGCCAGTGAAGTTACTACATTAAATGCAGGTATAAACTTGGGACGCAAATATTGCTGGTGTTTTGCGGCATGCCTGTAGGACTTAGAGTAAGTGTAAGCTGCTGGTGTTTAGCCAAAAACAATTTTTGTTTTTCTGGATTTGTGAAGTAGGTATGCTGTCTTTCTGAGACTCCTTCTGTCTGTGGAAGTGCAAGGTTTATAAGATCGATGCAAATTTTGCTTAATAATGTCACAATCTTTTAAGGAGCTAAAAGTGTACTATAGTCTAACTCTTTGAAAGTCACTGATTATTTGAGGTATATAGTGAGACATCTTAAACCAGACCAACTTTTAGATCCTTATATTTTTTTAATCTCAGCTATCAAATCTGCAAACCAAAATAACACCAGAGATCTCTATATTGTATACATTTTTATTTGTCATACCTCTTTTTTTTAATCCATCAGAAAAAAGAGTTATAGTTCCTATTCAGTTGAGTAGATATGTGAGGAATCACTCTTTCATATATTGGAATGTCTGCATAAATTTCACAGAACTTTTCTCCCAGGCATTTGTCCTGTACTAGCTAGGTGTCACCAAATACTACACTCAGACTGAAGCCCCCAGTACTTACCCTGCACGGTTGTCATGCTAACGTGAAAACCAGTAAACCAGTCTCGGATCAAGAAAAGTCAAAGGACTCTGGGGTATTTTCTTTGCATTTTTGGTTTTGTTTGTTTCAGATGTTGCCCTTGAGCCCTGGCAGAAAAGTTGATTGTGGCAGCCCCGATGCTCCTAGTTGGCTTGTTTTATCTTGTCATTTTCAGGATTTTGCATTAATTGCTGTTTCTCTGGATCTCATTTTTCCAGTATCAGGTGCTGATGTATCTTTGATTCCTGGGTACACTTTACCTTCTGTATTTTAAAGATACATTTTACAATACGTGTACTTCTCTTAAGGCTTCCAATTTTACAACTAGAGTAATTAAGAGATCCAAATGGTGTTATGCTGATGCATTACCACCCTGCTTTTGCTGGCCCAGTGAAGGCACCTTGGGTTAACTGCTATACAGAAGCATGCTTGATGAAGTATTTGCTGCTGAAGTTACATTAATTATTTCCTTTGTGGGCATTTTTTGCTAAATTATGCTGAAAATTAGCTTAAGAAATTTAATATCTCCTTAAAGCATAGATATTCATAGAATTATGAATAAAATAGGAAAATGAGCTAAATTATTGTGAACTGTGCTTGTGTGATGGTTTAGAGGGGGTTGCATTCAGAATAGGCCTCCTGTACGAAAAGGCTGCTCCTCTACCTTCTGAACCTTTCCCATAGAGGTTCAGAAGAACCACAGGAGAGGCCTGGTACCGAATTCATTTCTTATTCATCTTGCCTTCGCAGTCTTAAGCAACTGGTGCTAGGACTGTGCATCAGTCTTGTCATCTGTATATACATGTAAGCCTTGCTGCAAGCATCGGAGGACCTGGGAGGTTAATCTGGCCGGTGGGAAGGGCACAGGAGAGATCTGAATAATGGATCCTTCCAGAAATTTGGAAGGACTCCAGTGGTGCCAGGTTAGTACTTTAGACAACAAAGGGATGACTAATTCCAGATGGTCTAGGTAGCCAGAATCAGAATTCAGCCATAAGGTTTTGTTTAAGGAGAAGGTCTGGAGGGGTCATGCTCTGGTTTTTTTGAAGTTCTACACTTGAAATAGCAATTAATTGACTTAAACTCAGCTGTTGTCTTACAGGTGCTAGTAGGTGTTAAAGGTAGCAGCCTGGCTGAATTGCAGTCAAGTAGCTAAGTAACTAACTCCTGAAAGCATCCATGCAGCATTGCTGGATGTATAGATTATCTGAAGGATGCATACAATTGTGTTGTTTGTGCATGCTCTCAGTAGAAGATGGTAAAGACGTGTGCATGGGGATTCATGGCGGTACACAGCTGTTCTTTTTCTGGTAGCTGGGTGCTGAGCTGAAAAATGGCAGTCAGCAGAGCAAAGCAACATTAATGGTTTTTATCTAAACAAAATGTTACAGGCAGCTGCAGTTCATTGACTAAGGAGAAATGAAGAAAAGGGTAGCACAAATGAGTATTGCTCTGTGAAAGCTAGTCTAAAAGTCACAGCAGCTTTTAACAGAGCTATTGTCAGCAGAGTTTTTACTCTTTCTGGAAGAGAGAAGCCTTCCTGGGCCTTCTCTAAAACCTTAAAAATCAAACTACTTCAGCTGTTTCATAGCACTTGCTATTAAATTTCAGATGGGCACTTAGCGTGCACTGTACCACTCGCAGAGTGTATAGGCTTCACTGTTGTAAACGCCTGAGTTTCTTGTTACGGCTTTATAGGATTCATGACAACACTGAGAATGTAGCAAAAAAAGTGACCATCAGCTCTGTCAGATAAAGTGCTTAGCTTGAATCTACTTTTGCTTCCTGAGCCCCAACATATAAGGAATACATAGAACTCAAAATGAGAATGTCTTTACACAGCCTTGCCTTACCGCTATGAGTTGGTGTGTAGCTATTTATCTAAGTCTATAGGCGGTGCTAAAGCAGTAATAACCTCATTGGTGCCTCAGGTATTTTGCAATTTCCTAATCTGAATTGTTTTGCAAGTGTAGAGGCGGTGTGAAGAGAAGGTAGGCTTTTTTTCCCTGTAGTCACTATGAGGTGACGTGTGCCAAGGTAAGCAAGATAAATTGTTGAACAAAGTGCACCTGCAGTTGATTGCTGCTGATTTTCACCAAGGAGCAGGCTGGAGAGGGCACACTTGCAGAAGCCTTGATCTCTGGGGGTTCTGAAGGCTGGAAAAATCACAAATCCCAAATTTTTCACCATGAAGAGTTCCGGAAATGTCTTCTATCTTCTCTTCTTTCATGCTGGTAAGTGCCCTCCAAAAACTTCTGCTGTAGCGTGGTGTCTGGGGTTGACTTGTATGTGATGTGAGAGAGCAGAGGGAAAATAGGGCCATCTCAGAACCAATCTTATATGGCTAGGAAAAGGAATAGAAAGAAATAATAGAAAAAATAGAAAAGGAGTAGAAAAGGTGTATTGAACACCATGTATATGTCTTGACCCAATGGTCTCAAATGTTGTATTTCCTCACCACTGAATCTACTTCTTATGGTTTAGTGGTGTCTGTTTCTCACAAGTGTGAACAGTTCTATGACACTTATTTTGTAAAAATAGAAATAATTGCCTTATTCCACTTACGATGCTCTGTGTGACGTGTTGGCTTTCTCCTGTCATTCCCAAATTCTAATAGCAAATGCTTTTAATTTCACTGGAGGTGTAGATGCTGTTTCTGAAGCACTCTGCAGTTCTTCAAGCAAACAAACAAAAAAAGAACCTAGTATATTCTTTTTTTTTTTTTTTTTTAACATGGTTTCTGTTGAAAGCCCTTGATAGTGTCTTAATAGCTGTATTAATAGCCACTTGATAAGATGTTACACAATGTAGTACTGTTACTTTAGCAAAGGAGTTAACTGGATGTTTGCCAACAGTAAAGTTTTATGTGTGTTTAGGACCTTGAGCTCATTTCAAATGGAAGTTGCCAGCTCCTGCCATTTCATGCTCTATACATATATATATACACACACAGATATACAGAAGGGCCATAATGGTGAATAAACCTGGGTTCAGAGACTGACCTGCTGTTTTAAGATGTTCTTGGTTGGCAATAGGAAGAGAGGCTAACTACAGACCTTGTCTGTGCTTAAGCCCACTTCAAATGGGTTAACTTGTAAGGAAGGAAACAGGAAATTGCCCAGAATCTGGCTTTCCTGTAACAACAAAGTTCAGCAGTTTGGAAAGGGACAAATTAATTACCTCTTTTGGATGAGTGAGGAAAAACCCAACAGGTTCATGCTGTTTCGCTATTTTGGCTGAAATACGGACCCCAATGAGCTTCGTTTCATGTGTATGTGGCTAATGATTTCTTCATACAATTCATGCATTATCTCCTGTGTGCTTATATCTAAAACCAGAATGCTGAGGCTGAAGAATGGCACTTAGCCATACATACTGAGATCCCAATTTAATTTCTATTTGCTTGTGTCTAGGAGAAAAAAAACCCCAAACCCCTTTATCAGTGAAAACCTAGGTTCTTCCTCCTGCCCCAAGAAATTAATGGTGAAAATGTCACCTAGGTAGACGTTGTTTCCATGAGGTGCCTTTTTCCCATGACCCTATTGTGCCTTTCTTCTAACCATCTTGGTTCTCGGAATTCCTGCAACTCAGAGGTGGGCAGTTGTTTGTGTCTCTACTGGCACATGCTGCTGTGAAAACTTCCTGCAAGCTTTCCAAGTCTGACTTAATGTTTGTTGGCAGCAGTAGAGTTGGCTCCGAGTTGCAGTGGAACAGCAAGCCAAACCCTCCGTTTCAGTATCAGGTGCAAAACAAGCTTTATGGCATCAATGATCTTGTTTAGTCTGCAGCCACTAAGTCAGAAAATGTGCATGACTACTATTGAGCACTAGTGGAGTAATTTTAACTTGCAAGGTTAGATGTGGTATCTCAGCTGCACGACAATTGTGGGGAAGTAGAGGGCCAGTTAGAGTTTTTAGAAAACCACATGACAAATCACTTACAGCAGACTCCAACTTAAAAATCAAAATTGTAGAAAAGCAATGGAATGTGGTGCCCCTTGCTTACAACAATGATCTGTGCCTGTTTATCAGCATAAACCATACATGCATTTTATGTACAGCTGCACCGTTTGCACATGATGACGCATCCTTACAAAAGCAACAAAGCGTTGGTAACCTTTGGAGCTTAGAAGGGTACTGTTTGGACCTGCTGGAGGACATCTTTCTTCACTGATTAATGGAATCTCCACTACTGAACTTGAATCTTTTCATTCATGGAACCACTCTCCCTGTTTCATGACTGTGGAAACGGCCTTTTATGAAAGAGAGTTTTGAAGGGACAGGTTTACTTTTTGTAATAAGCCTAGTGGCAAGGCTCTCGAGCATCTAAGATTGCTTTTTTTTTTTTTTTTTTTATTCAGACCAAAAAGGGCTGGGGCAGGACTCCAGGTACCTACTAGCAATGCTTGAGACAGAGTTGTCTTTGGACAGTCTCTTTGGTTTTGTAGCATGTCATTTTTAAAAATCATTTTAAGCACTTTTGTCTTGAGAAATGATGATGTATTCTGCAAGGTTTTAGGAATAGTCTGGACGCCCTGATCTATTCTATGGTACCCATATTTCTTATGTCAGAAACAAATGCCATTGGGTTTCAGTATCTGCGTCTGAGCCTATCCTGTTTCCAGTCCAAAAAATTTCAGTATTCATGTTAATCTGAATGAAAGTGGGAACCATCTCTAAAGACTCACTGTTGAAAGAGCCCTGATTTCTTTCTGTTTTGGGAGGAGGAACAGAATGAAAGGTTGGCTCTTCAGGAACCTTTAAATAGTAAGCTCTATTATAAAGGCACTGATGTGTTTTGTAATATTTTCTCTTGGTGTTGTATTTGCAGCTCTCAGCCTGGAACACATCCGGTGGTGCACTGTCTCTAAGCAAGAACTTTCGAAGTGTAATGACATGAGTAAGGCCTTTGGTGGGGCTGGCATCCTTCCCCCTCTGGAGTGTACAGAGGGGGGGTCAGCTGCTAACTGTACCCAGATGATCAAGGTGAGTTGTGAGTGACAGCAGTGTCATTGATTTAATTTCCCCATGTGCCTAATAATAATCCAGTGGCGATGCACACCACTCTGCGGTGAGAGTCCGATGATCCAGGCAGCTGTCCATATGCTTCCTGGCATTCATGTCTCTGAAAAATCAAAGCATATATTTCTTTTTAAAAAAAAAAAAGACATAAAAGTATACATATGAACCTTAATATCAGAATGGCCCTGTGTTGTCTGTTTGGCTACTTATATACGGCCAGTCATTAGGAACACGGCAAAGGTCTTAAGTATTTCCTCCCAAATGCTAATCTTTGATTTGGGAATTGTGTCAGATTTATTTAGCCGATATGTAAGAAGGGATGGAGCTATAAGATGCAGAGTGTAGTTAAAGCTGTGCTGATGAGCCTGATGAGTAGATTTTATTTCGATAAACTCTGGATCAAACTTGCATTTCAGGACCCCATCATGGAAATTGCTGTATATACAAATGAGATGAGTGTAAAGCTAAATCAAATCTCCCAATACCAGAGTACAAGAGAGACAAAGCAGCAAGTAGGGTGAGCAAAGGGCACGCAAACCCAGCTGTATTAATTCAGCTGCCCAGAGCGTGCTTAGTTTCCAAAAGGAACACGGCTCTGGGGAAGGTTTTAAAGACTGTAAACATGTGGCTTTGCAAAATGATGGATGGAAAATAACTCCCTCATTTAGGACAGGGTGGGAGGCAACAAGTGGATATTGGAGGAAATGTGGAGGCAGGTAATCGTGTCGTCTTCACTGGCAGAGTGTGAGGGAAGGGGAGGATGGCTGGCTGTGTTAATAAATAATGTTCTTTTTGTATGCTGTGTAGACATGTCCAAAAATCAGGGCTTTGTGGAGGAAATGCAACCTGTCGAGGACAAGAGGTTCAGAGCCAGAAAACAAGGCCTGGCAGAGTAGTTTGAAGGGGTTCTAAGTTTGAATGAGGCAGGTAGTTGTGTGGCCAGAAAAAAGGAACAAATTTCAGAAATTGGTATCTTTTAAATTTTTGTCAACAGAAGCAGAAGGGTTGCCTGACTACCAGAACTACTGCATTGCCTCTTGATAAATGCTGTTCTTGAGTGAGGAAATCAAGACTATTGAAGAATGTTAGGAGCAGATATCAATACATATGTGGATCTTACCTCGGCATTAGACAGGAAATACTTTCTAACGTCAGATCTTCCTGAAACCACTTGGCTGATTGCTGCATTCCACAGAGGGACCTGTTAGACTCTGCAAAGCGGGTTATTAAAAGGGTTGATGAGTGTCTGCTTCTGAAATACAGTGCACAGAGAATTAAGCCATTGCAAGCAGCAGGCACCTATCTCTAAAACCTTGGATTCCTATAAAACTTGATTAGCTGAACTCAGAAACCTGCAGGCGGATAGCACGAGTAAGTAGCTTTCTGATAAAATGAACCTTCACTGTAAGGCTTCGGACAAGGCTTTGTCCTTGAGAACTCTTTTCTTGTGCTAATAATCTACTAAATGTTTAAGCTGGCCTACTCTGTGTAGGATGGTGTGGAACCCCTGAGTCTGCACCCGCACTGAACTCTGCTCTTTGAGGCCAAAAAGGGAGTGGGACACCATGGCTGAAGAGACAGAGGTTTGCTGTTTTATAACACTACATAACTTGGACTTAGTCCTGTGGATGTTAGCACATGGATAAAGTAAAAAGCCTTTTTCTTTGAAGGTGTTTAAAAATTGAGAAATGCCTAAATATTAAACTAGGGAACCTGACAATATTTAATGTGACCAGAGCTATTCTTCAGCAGGCCTTTAAACACTTCTGTAGGTAATTCTCGAACGTTGTGACACACAGAAATGAAGTCCCTCTGAAAATAATTAACAGGGTATTAAACCATTGCACGTGTACTGATCAAAAAATCCTGTGGAATAATCCTGTGCTTTTGCTAAATGTATTGGCAAATGCTTGCTAAAAAAAACCCCCAACAAAACAAAAAACAAAAAAAACCCCACACCACCAAACAAAAAAAGAAAACCTAACAAAATACCCGCACTGTTGCTGATATGCCACCTCAGCAGTGATTGTGTGCATTTAAAGGAGAGGTCTGTAGCCTGTAAACTACTTCATGTTAAATACAACAATAAGTGGTTTTTTCCATCTTGTTCTGTTATTTATATGCTGTTATTTATACACAAGCTATTGGTAGGGGGCTCTTCTGCTAAATGGTGCTCAAAGGCTCAGCCTTCCAATCAGAAAAGCGCTGTCTCACATGGAAATATTTCCACATAATACAGTCCTTGTCTGCTCTGGCCAGCCCTCCCCATTTTATCTGCTGTTTCCTGTCCACCACCAATTCTAGAGGCTCATTTTGTTCTCCCTGAGGGTAAGGTTCTTCTAACTCACACCTCCTCTTCTTCCTCTCACTGTCAGGTGTCTCTTCTAAACAACAGGCAGTATTTGATTCCTAAACTGTCGTCCTGTGCTCCAACTCTCAGCGGTAGAATATCGGATCTGCTTATTCCAGAAAGATTCTGTCTGTTCTTTAAGATGCAAATGTCTCCCAACTCCAGCTCCTCTTCAGGTGCCCTTGGAGATTTGTTCAGCTCTCATTCATGAGAAGCAACTGTCAGGACATCTGTTGTTTCAGCTACTTAATGAAGATAATCTTTTTTCTCCCTTGAGCCAAATAAATATAATATTTCAAATTGCATGGCAACTTCAAATCTGATTTAGGTATCAACATCAATGTATTACTGTCCTGGTTTTGGCTGGGATAGAGTTAATTTTCTTCCTAGTAGCAGGCATAGTGCTGTGTTTTGGATTTAGTAGGAGAATAATGCTGATAACACACTGATGTTTCAGTTGTTGCTAAGTACTGCTCATGCTAGTCAAGGACTTTTCAGCTTCCCATGCTCTGCCAGGTGCACAAGAAACTGGGAGGGGGCACAGCCAGAATAGTTGATCCAAACTGACCCAAGGGCTATTCCATACCATATGATGTCATGCTCAGTATAGAAACTGGGGGGGGTTGGCCGGGGAGCAGCGATCGCTGCTCGGGAACTGTCTGGGTATCGGTTGGTGGGTGGTGAGCAATTGCATTGTGCATCACTTGCTTTGTATATTATTATTATTATTATTATCGTTATTGTATTGTTATTATTATCATTACTATTTTACTTTATTTCAATTATTAAACTGTTCTTATCTCAACCCAGGAGTGTTTCTCACTCTTACTCCTCCGATTCTCTCCCCCATCCCATCAGGGTAGGGGGAGTGAGCGAGTGGCTGCGTGGTGCTGAGTTGTTGGCTGGGGCTAAACCATGACAATTACCTATGCTCTCACATGATCCCTTAAAAATTTTCAAGCTTTTTATGTGGCTCAGCCTGTGGGAAACTGCTGTGGTATACTAGGCAGCATAGTCCTAACCTTACTCTACCCAGTGCTCAACAAGAGGGATGGGTAAACTAAATTACCCCCTCCAGTGCTGAACCAGAGGTTAAGCAAACTGATAAGAAACTTGGAATCAGCTTAGAAATGCAAAATGTCAAGCTGCTGATTATTTTCTCAGCAGTATCTTGTCTCTGTGTGAGATGCTGTCTCCTGGCTTCCAGTAGGTTCAGTGCGCAGCGAGAGCCAGGTTCAGCTGATCAGAGGTGTCTGTGGCAGTTCTCTGGTCCTTGCTGCGGTGGGAAGTCCTGTCCTGTGCTGTCCAGAGCAATCCTGCATCTGCAGCAGGATTCCAGCCAGCTTGGTGTTACAGTCAGCTGAAAAAATACGGTATTGTTGGACATCTTCCCAGCAGTGGATGCCCTAGATTTGTATTCCCCCACTTCAGACAGTCTTTTCAGATGCTTTCCTCCTTCCCCGAAATGCGCTGCCGTCTGGTTCCCCTCTCCCAAAATGTGTGGCTGTTTGTCTGCTAAGGTACAAGCCAGCGTGCTTTAAGGTTGCTTTTGAGTACACTTTGGCATTCAGATTTTGCAGCCCCAGAAGACATTACTTCAAACTATCTGTGTATGACCTCAAAAATATATTTACTTGATTTAAATCTTCAGGGCTTGAGGCACTAGTTATAGAGATGAATGAAACTCCAAATTGGTGGGCTTTAAGATTCATCACAGAGCTGCAGGATCCATTCCTAAGATTCCTTTGGACTATGAAGACTAGTGAGGCCGTCATGGTCCAGGGCTGGTTTCTGCATTATTTCTGAAGGAAGGCAGCTTTGAAGTTCTAAAATCCCTCATGGTAATTGTTCTTCAGAAATGTGAGTGCCCTTAAAAGGGCAAAAAGAGAGAAGACGACTCACAAATGCAGATTAAGGGGCGTCTTCTCTTAAACTCATAAGTACTCTGCCTCTGGCTGTTGAGAAATACTGATAATTAAGCTTCAACATGTATTCTGCCCTTGTGTCTGCACAGGATGATTTGGCAGATGCAGTGATGCTGGATGGCCGTTCGATTTACCAGGCTGGAAAGGAGCATGGTCTGAAACCTGTGGTCGGGGAAGTATATGATCAAGGTATATTCTGACTAAATAACTTTTAGATTACTTAATATGAGCTTTTTCTTAACGCATTTTTACGGTTTCCATTTTATTTTGGGGCCCTCCTCTTGAAGACTCTAAACAGTAGGTAATGGTCAGGTTCCCTCTTGTATGTTCCTGCCCGTAACAGAATGTGTAGGGGAAAGAGGAGATGCAGGGCTGTGGCAGAGTCCGTCCTGAAACAGTTAGGTCAAAGTAGCTGTTCCTGTAATACGTTTGTTGGGTGGGTTTTGGTTTTGGGTATTTTGCGTGGTTTGTTGGGTTTTTTGTTTGTTTGGGTTTGTGGTTTGATGTTGTTTTTTTTTTTTTATCTGTCTCACTGCTTGCTGTCTTCTCTGTTCCATACTTTGCAGATAAATTAATGAATTGCAAAGTGTAAGTTGTTACTAGGTTTATCTCTCAGTCCCATAAATTAGAATAATTCAATTTTATTTTTAATAGTTATATGGTTACCTGCTGGAAGAAAGGAAGTGATAGCTTCTGCTTCTTATCTGGGTGTCCTTAAGCTTTGTGTCCCTTTCAAGACAGAGACAGTAATTCAGTGGTGACTTGTCATCCTCACTAAGGGCTCAGTTTCAACATGTTTGTGTAGTTCAGAGCTGGAAGATGTCCCCCATAACTTTCAGAGACCCAAGGGAAGGAACAGCTCTGGAAGCAGTCTGCAGGCAGTGGTGTCCCACTGCTATTGTGAGACGGAGCTGGATTTGGTTTGCAGATGGGTCTTAGTGTGATCTGGCCAAGGCATCCTCAGAAGTGCTTGTTGGGCTCAGTCCACAGGGACTTGGATCACCTGCAGCAGCTGCCCCGCTTCCTCGTTAACCACATTGTGACCCTGATGAGGGAACTGTACTTCAGTTTCTCAAAACCAAATGGGCCTCATGATCTGGAGGCTGGCTATCTCCATTAGTCCAGTTATGAGCTCAAATCAGAGAAAAGTGAATGAAACTCTATGATTTCTGATATAAATAAAGTCAGATTGAATGACCTTATGGTCACTTCGGACCCTAAGCTCTTGACTCTGAGTTATATCAAACTGTAAAACAAAGAGAATGAGATCAGCTGTGATGTCCCAGTGACATCAGCTTGCTATGCTGTGTTGAAATTAAGATCAAATTAGTAGGCAACTGGGGAATAATTTTTTTTTCTATTAATTATATTGGTTTCAATTCAATCCAAATATATTTAGAATCATAGAAAACGTCTTCTTGGAAGGAACCTCTGGATGTCTTTCATCTCGCCTCCCTTTCAAAGCAGGGTGACCTTCAAAGTTAGAGCAGATTGCCTGTGGCCTTTAACTAAGACATTTCATACTGAAAAGATAATGGAGGACATTCACTCAGTCAGCAGATTCTCACCAAGGATGTGAACAATGTGGCTTGCCTGTGGGTAGGGGAGGCACAAGAGGCCACAAATCAGCGTATCTCACTGTAATGCTGCTGCGAGGCTACTTTGCTTGCTTCTCTTTCTTTCTATGCTGCAGATATTGGAACTTCCTATTATGCCGTGGCTGTGGTAAGGAAGAACTCCAACATCACTATCAACAGCTTGAAGGGTGTCAGTTCATGTCACACAGGCATCAACAGAACTGCAGGCTGGGATGTGCCAGTGGGTTATCTAGTTGACAGTGGGCGCCTGGCAGCAATGGGTTGTGACCTTCCAAAAGGTAAGAGTTACAGGACAAAGATCTGTTCTTCAGCAGTGACTTTCTGTATGGTCTTGGGACCCTGTGTGTGGACAGAAATGTGTGGTTCTAGCCTGCTGTTTTGTTCCTTGGCTTTGATGCTACTTGTAAGATGGAACAAACCTAACGTAGGTCTGATGAAGACTGCAGGGTTTGTTTTTTTTTTTTTTAAACTTGGAAACCATCTTTTAAGAATATCCTGAACCAATGTCAACCCAGGAGTTTTCTCACTCTTACTCCTCCAATTCTCTCCCCCGTCCCACCAGGGCAGGGGGAGTGAGCAAGCGGCTGCGTGGTGCTTAGTTGCTGGCTGGGGCTAAACCATGACAAAGAACAAAATGACTTATCCCTTCTAAATGTTTTTAGAGATGTACTGTGTAGCTGTGTTAAAATGAGATTGTAGGATCTTGTTTATTCATTGCTAAAAATTTCTCATTCTAATTTCACATTTAGCTGTGAGTGAGTATTTCAGTGCAAGCTGTGTTCCTGGAGCAAATGGTGCAAACTATCCCAAATCCCTCTGTCAGCTCTGCAAAGGGGATTCGGCTGGGCAGAACAAATGCAAACGAAATTCCCAAGAGCAATACTATGACTACAGTGGGGCTTTCAGGTAAAAATCATGGTTCTGTCAATTTTTTTTATTGCTATGCTCTATCCATAGCTATCGTGTCCAGATCTCACTGACAGGAAATTGAAGGCAGAGAACTTGCAGTCGATCTTGTTAGAAAATCTGCTCTTGTGTTAGGACAACCATGCTTTAAACCTAGAGACTGAACAAAAGTCATTCTAAACCCACTATTTCAGGTATCAATACCTGAATATTAAAACCAAATGGATATTTAGCACTTACACTGGGCAGGGAAATCCCATTGCTGTTTGTTCTGTCCAGCAGCTGCTCGCACAAGTCTGAGTGTTTGTTTCCGCAGGCTGTGTCTTTCCCAGTAAAACCTGATGACCCTTGGAGTCTGAGAGCTGACTGCCGCCCTTCTCAGCTGTTTCAGTCATCCCACCTCGGTTGCACTGAATTATCAACTTGCTCTGCCCTCCGTTTTTGCACAACAATCTTTCCCTTATTTTTCTTCTTCCTGTCTGTGTGCTGTGTTGCTGCTCCCAGTACCTGAGTAATAGCATTGACTGAGCAAGGGCAGAATTTGCTCGCGTGAAACACTTGCTCCTCTCTGTGTATTCCCCAAAGGATTGTGCAACTGCCTTAGACCGAGAACTCTCCTGGACAAAACAGGTCATGGTGTTTGTCCCAGGCAGCACTGAACATGTTGTCCATGTTCACCAAATGACAGTGATAGTTCACTTCATGCTGTAACAGCCACTAGGCTCTGCCTTGAGCAAAACTCTCAGTGCAATCAAATAGGTCAGTGTCTGTGGCTGATGGAATGTAGCGTACAGCCCTCTGGCTGTCAGCCAGCAGTGTCCAGTGCATGGGGAGCTGTGCTTTTGTAATGCACCATTGTCGTTGGATTTATGTTTACTAGGTGTTTGGCTGAAGGTGCTGGAGAAGTCGCTTTTGTGAAGCACAGCACAGTGCCTGAAAATACAGATGGTGAGTAATCCAGAAGCCTGTTGAATAGTGGCTGCAAGGTCTGAAGTACAGTGTCTGTAATGACAGTATAATGTCAAATGTTTGATTTATTTTGAATTGAGAAATCAGCAACAAATGCTCTAATAGCAAAAACACATGTACCCACAGAGGTATGTACCAGGAGATAGAGGAGTCCATCTGATCCTTTTTTTTTTGTTTTGGTTTGGATTTTTTTGTTTAAAAAAATGCTTGATAGTTTCAGTAAAGGTTAGAGGTGGAATCTTAACCTTCTTCTGGAAAGAGCTTAAACAGCACTAAACACTTAGTTTTATACAGACCTGGGCTCTTGCATTGCTCCTGCCTACCCAGGGATTTCAGCAGAGACTAGCAGAAAGTTAAGATGATGTGGCCTGCCCTATCTGGCACTTCGTGAAATCTACCTTGAGCATAACATTACTTTAATATACTGGGCCTGTCTGACCATCATTTGCAGGAAAAAACTAAGAAATGTTGCATGTGATCCTGGACTTAGGGATGCTCTTGATACTGCTGCAGACCCCAGTACAGGTCAGTGCAGTCTCACAAGTGTTAAGCTGTTCATTGTCCTGTCAGAGATACAAGACTAAAGGACCACACAGATGCATGGGATATATTGTACAGTCAGGAATAGTTTGAAGATGCTCAGGAGATGTATGTTCTGCTCCACATGTGCATTTGATGCTTAGAGCAGATGTGGAGCCAGAAGCATCAGCCCCACCAGATGTCTGTTCCATAAGCACATTCTGTCTGATTTCAGGAAGAAGTCTTTCTTCGTGGGCCTTGCGGCTTCGCTCCCAGGACTTCCAGCTTCTGTGCCGCAACGGCAACACAGCTGATGTGACAGAGTGGAGAACCTGCCACCTGGCCCGAATCCCAGCTCGTGCCGTGGTTGTGCGGCCTGACACAGATGGGACAGTTGTCTTCCAGCTCCTGAAGCAGGGACAAGTAGGATACCATTTTTTTCATCAGTGCATTGCATTTTAGAGAGGTTCTCCAACCTGTCTAGCTGAATTGAAGACAGGATATCTGGGCACCTTCGGCTCTGTGGGTTTGAAGGGGTACGGGATGTCACACGTTGCAGGTAGAGGGATGTGTGACAGGTCCTTTTTTTCTTTCTTTAACATTACAGCAAAGATTTAATGGGGTAGGCACCAAGTTTCAGATGTTTGACTCCACAGCCTACAATGCCCAGAATCTTCTGTTCAGAGACTCCACCACAGAGTTCATTGCAATCACAGCTCAGAATTACCAGGCATGGCTGGGTGATGAGTATCTTCATGCCATGCAAGCTCTGAGCTGCAACCCCAACAGTAAGTTGTCTTCAGATTCCTATTCATAACCACGAAGATATCAGATAACAATGGCAAAATGCGAGTCTAATCTTTGAGCATGGAGAAAGGCCGCTTTTTGACCTAGAAACAGTATCACATTGCAGAATACTTTCTGTGCAAATTGGCCCACTTTGTGTTATAAGATGCAGGCATTTTCTACCCTTTCTGGTGTATGAGACACAGTAATCTGGTAAGCTGCTACTGCTACCTGGTACTCCATTTCTTACCTGCTAACAAGGGGAAATAGTAATGTGTTGCTGTGTAAATCCTCAGGTAGTCTATAAAGAATGGATGAATGGGTTGGGTTCCTAGCAGAGAATTTCCTCCAGAAGCTGAAGTAACCCTCAGTTGCTCTTTATTGAAGTGTTAGGGCCTTTTATACTATGGGAAGAATGTAGAAATTACTTGATGGCTTCTGGAAAAGTCAGAAACACAGGCTGTAAGAATCTCTACCTTAAGAAGCTTAATAGTCACAGCAACTGAGCCTCCCATACGTCCAAAGCCCCCTACCTCCCGGTCTTGTCTATTCTGGGGTTTGCTCGGTGACTGTCAGGTATGAGGAAGCCTGTGTTCAGGGTGGGTTTTTGCTGCACTCAACTAACACGTTATGGCTGCGCTTAATGGTTGGCAATCGTAGCAATTCTTGTTCCTTTGCTACGGATGGGTTTGCAGTGTGGACATACCACTAATTTGGAGAGCTCTGTGGTTCCTAATCAGGTATAAGTCTGAGATGGAGAGAAACACAGAAGTAAACATTTTTAATAACATGTATGGTACATATGTGACAGTGGGCGGTGTATGTCCCTCCTTGTCTATTACAAAGAAAGTGAACTGTAGTATTTGCTTTCCAATTTTGTGCAGCATTGCCAGAAAGCCTGAACTGGTGTGTTGTATCCACTGAGGAGATTTGGAAATGTGGTGAAATGGCCATTGCCTTTAAGAAAAAGAATTTGAAACCAGCAATTCAGTGTATTTCAGCCAAAACAAAGGAACAGTGCATGGAGCTGATCCAGGTAGGCTGCTACAATCCTTGTGCAGTAAACCAAATTAACATAAGCTGCTCTCTGCTGGGTAGGTAGGATCAGAGATATGCGCACTTAGGTGACCAGTAGAAATACTGGATTTCACGGAGGTGATCTGTAGCTCACATGGTATAGGTGGGCCTGAACCCTGATGATCTTGAGTTGTGATGAGGTCATTGTTGCCCATCTAGCTCAAGCCTGTATGTGTGAAATCTCCTGTTCCCATTTCACTGATGATGCTTTATGCAGGTTTGGGATTTTTGGTTTTTTAGCAGTGTATTGCTCTTTTGCTGTCAGACTTGCCCCTTGAGATGCAACAGGTGTGATGCTAGAGGTGTCATCGTTGTAGCAGGAAGGTATCTGCTGGTTTTTCCACAGAAATCCTAACTTTTATCTTTCAGAAAAAGGAAAGTCATGCTGTAGTTCTGGGTGGAGCTGATATTTACACAGCTGGGAAGACATATGGCCTTGTACCAGCTGCTGGAGAAAGTTACTCTGGTAAGAAGGTCAGGAAACATAAATATAGACCTTATTTTTCCAAGGTGTTTGAAAACAGCTCTACAAGCGCAGCCTCTGTTTCCTAGCCCTGCTGGGAAAGCTGTTTTCAAAGGAAATGAGTATTATTATCCTCACATCATGGACAGAGGAGGAAGTAAGTATGGGATGGGTTCCTACAGTGAGTTTGTGGCAACTTTTATCTCTCCTGCTGCAGGACCAGTTGAGTCTTTGGCAGTTTTGAGTCTTGTACCTCTTTATTTGTCTTTTCAATTCTGCAAAAAAAATATTTACAATGGAAAAAATTAGTATTCACAAAATCAAAATATTTTAACAGAAGCAAAAATATAGAAATCACACAGTAGATTCTAGTTAGAAACAGATTATTTGTGTCAGTGTGGCTGCTTCAGAGTCACCGATGAAAAGAGGGCTTGTGTCTACTGTGTCACTAAGGCAGAATTTCACTATGTGGCAAAACTCATGGAAATTTTAATACAGGTTTGAGGTTTTCATATAAAAATAAATTCTTAAAGCAGTTTTGCTAAGTCACTAATGACCCAAATGTTGTTTTTCAGAGGGATGTATTTATAAGAGCTGGTGTTAACAAGAACACTTTCATGTTTGTCTCTAGATTATTCAGTTCAAGTGCATAGCAGTACCAGTATACAGGCTATAAGTGAATGCAACATTGTGAAGTAGTAGAAGTGAAGAGTAATTACGTGTACATACATACTTCCTGACTAGCTGATTGTTGGTGCAATTGAAATTGGCACCAGATAAGTGTAATGGATCTGCAGATGGTCATTAAGCAGTGGGAATGCTTAAGGGAAGCTGCAATGTGTGTTTTGGTTTTTTTCCGCAAGCTGATGACAACAGCAACGCGTACTATGCTGTGGCATTAGTGAAGCGAAATCTGTCCAATGCATTCACCATCAGTGACCTGAAAGGGAAGAAGTCCTGCCACACAGGACTGGGGAGAACTGCTGGATGGAATATCCCCATTGGTATGCTAATTAAGAGGGGCATTATTAAGATCAGCGACTGCAGTATTCCTCAAGGTAAGACAACAGTACTGCATATCAAAAATACAGTAACACTCTAATTGTAAACTTCCATTAGGGAAGTAATTTTGATATTTCATAGCTCTATATTAAGCTTATCTGTTTGTGAAGGGGTGTTGTGTTTTTAAGGTAATGATTTGAAATTTTAAGTTGGCTACCAGAGTAGACTAATGGAGGGGTCATACTGAGAATGTTACATCCAACATGAAAGTATTCCTTTCCTTTATCACAAAATCATTGGCTAGTTTAGGTTGGAAGGGCCTTTGGAGGTCACCTAGTCCAACCAACTGCTCAGAGCAGGTCCAGTTAGATCAGATTGCCCAGAGCCATATCCAGACAAGTTTTGGGTAACTCCTAGGATGGAGATTATACACAGCCTCTCTGGACCCCTGCCCCAGCATTTGACCATCCTTGGTATAAAGAATTTTTTTCTTCTATCTAATCAGAATTTTCCTTCTTGTAACTTCGGTCTGTTGCTTCTCATCCTTCTGCCCTGCATCTCTGAGAAGGATCTGGGTCTGTCTTCTTGAAAAATGCACTAAGTAAATGAAGACAGCAATACACTGTTACTTGTCTTATCTCCAGGCTGACCAAACCCAGCTCTCAGCCTGGTAAGTGCTGAGTCATGTGCTCCAGCCCTCTGAGCATCCCACTCTCCTCCCACCGTATTTGCTCTAGAATGTCAATGTCTTTCTAACACTGGGAGCTCAAAACTTCACACAGATGTCAGAGGGGAATCATCACTTCCCTTGACTGCTCCACTAACACAACCCAATATGCCATTAGGCTTCACTGACCAAAAGCACACTGCTGACTCTTGGTCAGCTCATTGTCCACCAGGATCCCCAGGTCATTTTTTTTACAGAGCTGGTTTTCAGCCTGCCAGCCCCCAGCCTTTCATGGTCTTACTCCATCCCAAAAGCAGGATTCTGCATTAGCCTTTGTTGAACTGTGAGGTTCCTGTAAGTCTGTTTCTCCAGCCTGTCCAGATGCATCTCAGTGGCAGTGCTGGCCTCCAGTGTATCAAATTGCCAAAGTTTATTCCAGTTTTCAGAAATGCATTTGAAGAGTGCACTGCTTTTTGTATTTAATCAACTTTCAGCTTATCACATGGTCTTGAAAATCCTGTTTTCACACCTGGCTGTCTCAGCTTTTGCTTGAGGATATTGACCCAAATCAGGTATCAATAATAGGATAGTCACAGAAACTCACATTGTCTGTTCAGGCATATCCCCTCTAAGTGGTACTTCCAGCTCTGGGGTATCATTGCAGTAAATGGTGTATCCCTGTCCTGAATTTTATTGCATTTATTTTCAAACTGTATTTAGTAATGGAACAATGTAGCACAACAAGCAAAGGATCTATGACCATAGGACTCCAGGTTCGAATTTTGCTTGCCTGTTTCCTATCTCCCAGGAAGCATTTTGGTTTCATTACATAGGCAGCTAAAGAGTGCTTTGAAAATATTTTAAAAGTTGTAGTTTGTGAATTCCAGTAAGGCAGCTGTAACTCATGTTTCTAGTGTTCTGCTGAAACCTGCATTGGTTGTAATTTCATGACAATGTAACTACCTTTCTTGTGAAGAGCTCACACTTTTCACTCATTATATTGGTTTGTCTGTCTTTCTCCAGCTGTGAGTGAGTTCTTCTCTGCCAGCTGCGTGCCTTCAGCTAAGCAGGACAATTACCCATCAAAACTCTGTCAGCTATGTATTGGAGATAATAGTGGAAACAATAAATGCAGTGCAAGTAGCCAAGAACGTTATTACAGCTACAGCGGAGCCTTCAGGTAATTAATACATATGGTTGTTACTTAGCCTGTCAGCTTGTCAAAATGCAAGGAGGAACTATTTTCCATCCCAGTCAGCAAAAAGTGGTTATTGTTGCTACAGTTAGATGGCATGTGCCATAAATTCCTCTGGAAGACAGGGACAGGGAGCAGAATGGAGCCCCCATAA